GTGCCTTTGATGTCTAATGGGAGCTCTGGTGGCATAGTGCTTAAGGCACTTGACTGCTAACCAGAAGGCTGGTGGTTCAAACCCACCAGCCACCCATCAGAAGGAAGACTGGACAATCTACTTCTGTAGAGATACTGCCCCGGAAACCCAAAGAGGGGTTGCTATGAATTGCAATTGATTCAATAGCAGTGAGTTTGGTTTTCTTGGTTTTGATGTCCAAAGTCCACATAAACTATGGGACTCTTTGGAATACAATGGTGAGCTCTGCTGCCAGGTGGCTTATTCTAATTCTAAAGAGTGTCAAGGACATGGTGTACTTAAGCATAAAATTTATATTAAAGAGTATAGCATAAAGAAACTTCAGAATTTCAAGGGGACGCTTGTCTCAATGTTGGTATATTCCTCAGAGAAAGGAAAATATATTTTAAAAACTAGATATAACTAAAGGCCTCAGCACAACTATGATAAATTATCTTCTTCATGTCCTGATTCCTAAAAAAAGAGAGAAGCATGGGGAAATATTTCCCTTGAAAAATACAGAAAATAGGAAGTATCTATAAATAGTATCAATTACTAGGATAAGAACTCAGTTAACAATGGTTTCCTTTCTTAAATTCCTGTAATATTTGCTGCCAGTCCTATTCACTTGTCAGGTACATTACCCATTCCCTACTAGACTATAAGCCCTTCAGTGTCTTGAGATGCTCCTTGTCTTGGAGTCTCATCTTAACTGGTAACAACTAGATAAATGGGCTCTTTCAACAACCTAGTACATCAGCAATGTTCTCTTTCCTTCAAATCAGGGATCTACAATTGTCATGGACTGTTTTCCCAAAATATGTGTTCACTTGGCTACGCCATGATTCCCAGTATTGTGTAGTTATCCTCCATTTTCTGATCTGATGCAATCATCCCCCCTTTCATGTGTTATAAATTTTTACTTTGTTGTTAATGAGACAGGCTTAGTGTGGGGGTATATCTTGAGTCACAGCCTTGCAAGACAGCATGTATCAAGTCACATCTTCACTCAAGTCACATGCTTGTTTGATATCACACCTTTTGCCTTAACCTAAAAAAAAGAAAAAAACAAAAACAAAAACAAAACCTCACTGCCATTGAGTCGATTCCAACTCACAGTGACCTCCTTTGGGTTTCCAAGGCAGTAAATTTTTAGAGAAGTATACTGCCCAGTCTTCCTTCTGTGGAGTGGCTGGTGGGTTTGAACCACCAACCTTCTGGTTAGCAGTCAAATCACCACAGCTCCTTACATGAGATAACTGGAGAGAAAAGTCAGCACAGAGTGGGGAGGGACTTCACTACCACCAAGAAAGAAAATTGTGAGTGGAGTGCATCCTCTGGACTGGAGTCCCTATGCTAAGAATCTCTAGACCTAGGAGAATATTGATACCAAGACACATGCAGATCTCCTCTCCAAGGAATGCCATGCCCACTGATTTTGAAAGGAGACAAGTCCTTTCCCTTTGTCTCAAATCCGACAGAAAGGAAGCCTTCCCCTATAGCTGGTGCCCTGAATTTGGATTTCTGTCTCCCAAACTGTGAGAGATTAAATTTGTTAGCCATCCACATGTGGTATTTCTGTATTGCAGCACTAGAGAACCAAGACAACAATCTTCAGGCATTTCAAAGACTTGTAACTTAACCAAGGTGCTTAAGGGACTATGGCTTCAAGCAAGATCAGACAGATGAAATGAAAATAATTTGGGGAAAATGGTCTATTAGTAAAATGTGTGAAAATGGCAGGTCAATTTAAGTCACTTTCCTTAACAACAGTCAAAAGAAACACTAGGCTTTAAAAAAAAAAATAAGTTATTGAAGGTTGATTTTAACATGAAAAATAAACAGATACTATTCATATTCTTGGTTGAAAGGGACAAATCTTTTTCTCTTTTCAGGAAAATGATTAATTCAGTCCATTCCAAAAGAAGTAAAACTTGGAAGTTTTGTTTTATTTTAAAATTATACTCTTTAAGATTTAAAAACAAAATTAAAGCTAAACATAAGATTTAAAAGACAAGATCAAAGCCTTAACAAGCATCTGGAAAGCTGATGGATCTAATGCATCTAGAAGCCAATTTAAGGAAAACTCTTAGTTTACAGTGGGGGAAAAATGAAAGAAAGAAAGAAAGAAATACATGTAAGTTGCACCCAAACTATAAGGTTAGTAGAATCTCATTCACACAGGACACATGCATATTTGCTGAATTAATGAATAGATTAATATATTTAGATTTGTCATGCTATCTTTCTCCTTTTTTTATTAAACCAAACTGTTAACCCTTACTTAAAGCATTTGGCTGCTAACCAAAAGCTTGATGGTTCGAATCCACTAGCCACTCCACTGGTAGCAAAGTGCCTAAGGCACTTGATTGCTAACCAGAAGGCTGGCGGTTCAAACCCACCAGCCACTCCTCAGAAGGAAGGATCTACTTCCGTAGTGATAACGCCTCAGAAACCCAAGGAGGGGTCGCTATGAGTTGGGACCGACTTTCGATGGCACATAACAACAACAACAAAGCCACTCCACAGGTGAAAGGTGAAGCGGTCTGCTTCCATAAAGATTTACAGCCTTGGGAACCCTGTGGGGCAGTTCTACTCTGTTCTAAAGGATTGCTGTGAGTCAGAATAGACAACGACAGTGGGATTTGTTTTTGGTTAACTTGTACAATTTCTTCTATTTTTTCTTTAAAATACCTTTTAAAGAAAAGAAAGATGATGAAAATTAAAACCAATTCATCATTTTAAAGCTTATGATTCTCTACTAAGTATGTCAAGAAGGTGATAGTACTTGGGGTGCTCTAGTGAATTCTAAGGGATTTTTTTCTTATAATTTCAAGTGATAGCCCATATAGTGCATTATAACAGCATATGGCCACATTTATTTGCTCATCTGAGAAGAATAATTCAGTTTCATAAAAAATGCAAATTTAACTGCTTAGTGCATTAATTCATGCCAACCTTGCTCTCAAGACAACCACCAGAGACCTCCCACACGAAATCAATATGCACACATCTATTTAACTTTTATTACTGGCTCACTAAGTAAATATCATGCTATAGATCACTTAGGTATTCATTATTCACAGGCAAACAGCAAACATAAGAAGCAGGCTGGCAGTGTCAGGTCATTAACAAATCAATCGATAACTGTTCCCCTGTTTCAGTCTATCAAATGAGGGCAAGATGTGCAACATCTGGAAAGCTACATCTGGAGTGTTAACCTGCTGCCAAGGTGCAGTCTGTTCACCGCAGAAGATTCCATATTTACGCTGATTCTAAGACAACCTCCCAAGGAAACCTTAAGTTACATCATGTCTTCCCAGGCTTTAGTAAGCACTGAAACAGATACTATTCCTTAGACACCAAAAGCCTGAGATACCCAATAACCATGCTGGGAAACAAGACTCTTTTCTCTCCCCAAAGCATCCAAGACTGAGGCAAAACTCAAAAACATTTGCATGCCTTATATGACAAAGAACAAATTGTCTGAGTCTCTTTAACACTCTCTATTCCTTTCCAACCAAATTTTTAGACTTTTATAAGGACCATATGCGCATTCTTAAGTAGATAATCCACTTCAAAGACACCAAGTGTTTCTTTTGCACCAAGTGAAAAGAATTCACTTTAAATGTTAGCTCTGTTTAGCATCATATTCATGGTATCAAGCCCCAGAAAATATCATCCTATGGACATTAATTTCAGGATAATAGCCAGTCAAGTCTTGGCTTAGAGAGTTAATACATTGTGCTGTATCTGAAGCCACCTACCAATGTTGTTGACTAAGATACTGAAAAAGAAACGAAGAAAAGAAAGGTTGGTCACTGGAATAAACTTAAGCTTCACAACTGCTTCCTCAATTTGACCTCATAAAACCCACTGTCTACAAAGTGTCAGCAATAACAGCAACAGATCTCAAAAAGTATTGGCCATTTTTCCTCTCATTTATTTCAAAAACCAATAGCAAGAGACTCAAACCAAAGCCATATAAATTATACTGTTGTTGTTGTTGTTGTTATGTGCCGTCGAGTCAGCCCTGACTCATAGCGACCCCTCCTTGGGTTTCCGAGGCAGTATCACTACGGAAGTAGGATTGCCCAACCTTCCTTCCGAGGAGTGGCTGGTGGGTTTGAACGGCCAGCCTTCTGGTTAGAAGTCAAGTGCCTTAGCCACTATGCTACCAGAGCTCCCATAAATTATACTATTGATTATAATTATGAGAACTAAAGGCAATCTTGGAGCATGGCAGACAAACATCCAGTAAGAGACAAAAAGACCCTTTCTCTCCTCTTCCTGTCTCTGACTTGATCTACGGGGACAGCATGACTGGTGTCAACTGTAGAAGTTAACGCTTGCACACATGCACATCCCTGCTGGAAGCAAGGTCATGCTGGGTTTCAAATGAACCTGCACTGTGCTTACTTACCATCCTGTCTTACTTTCTGGGTGGAAGGTTTAATTAATACTTCATCCTAGAAACAATCCACACAAGAAATACCTTTATCCGGAGTAAAAGTCATGACAGAAATCTACTCTTCCTGTGAATAGCAGTTTTCTTATTTTAGTTCCATTTTCTTCAATGGAAATCTTACCCACCTCCTTCCCTCTACTGATAAAATATGGAGTTCATAAAATGACCCACAAAGAACTTCAAAAATCCTACTATGGATTTAGGGCCTGGCCCTCTTCACTCTTGGAAAAAGTTGGAAAGCATCCTCTTGTTACCCTCTTTTCTCTCTTCATAATATGTTCACTGCACATTTCCATTCCAGAGCACAAATTAAAGGAGGTCTTTATCACGTGGAAAGCTGTGCTATTATTTTAAGCCCACTACATTTCTGTTTTTACCAGGCTAACAGCTAAAGGCACACACAGACAGGATGTTAGCAATAAATTGCAACACATGTGGTCTGCCCCACCCCCAGCACCCCAAGAGAAACCATGCCCTACTTCCCACTGATTCTGTGCTCTTCCCCAGGCCTTACCCTGCCCAAGAGGTTGTCCTGAAGCAATGTCTGTTGTAGCGCTGGGGCCACTTCCTCCAAGCTCAACATGTGGCAGAGGTCGGTGAGCTCCTCCTGTCCCAGGGACCCGGTGCCCGTCGTGTCAAAACTGTCAAACAACTCCTTGAGTCGGGCCTCATGCTGGTCCTGCTCCACCTCATCCATCCCATAGCCCAAGGCGCTCACCTGTGCAGAGTGAGAGACAAAGACAGGTTGTGGCAGGCCAATCATACTGCAGCTACCTCTTGGCACACTCACCCCTCACCTTATCCTCCACCAGCCCCTTGAGAGTGCTCTGTGTACCCTGGTGGCCCTAGAGCTGGTAGACCGGGACCTTCAGAAGGGCCCACACAAAAGTAACACTGCACATACCACAGCAAGTCCACTGTCCGTCCCTCCCAGACCCAGCCCCGGTTAGTGGAGCTCCTCACATACACTCACTACCAGGGGCACATCCACAACGTCGGGTCACAAATGGAGGTAGAGTTCCGAGTTACCAGAATGAGGGAGTCAGTGAGACACTCATTCCTTGTAGGCAGAAAGACTCTTCTGCTGCCTGGTCCTCAGGAGACCAGTCTTTAAAACTCAGGTCTGAGAGGGGTTCTCTCTCTCAGTTCATCTGGCCCAGGACTTAAAGAAAGTGAAGAGTCATTTCTGACATCCAGACCTTTCAAATGGACTAACGTTAGCAACAACAGGCTGCATGCACTGCTAGAGCTTCCACTCAAGTCAGTGAGCTCTGGATGGCCTGCCCGGCCACAATCTGCTGGCTTGGCAGAGATAGTCATTCTACTTTGTTCAGCCTAGACTAGATTCCCCCATAATAGTGACATGGCAGAGTTGCAACAAGAGGCACTGGGTATGCATGTTTGATACAGAACTACCTCCCTGTTTACATGAGCCCAAACACCTTGGACATGAGTTTCTCAAAAAGCAACTCAATTAGCTTCGCTGGTGCAATTACATGAAGTGTGACAGGAAGAGTATTCCCTGAAGCTCACTTTAGTCCCAGGGAGTCTTAGGTAATGCTTAGTTGCCTAGAGAAAAGGGAAAACACTACTCCAACCTTGCAGACAGTGAGGCTACAATGAGCCATAAATTGGCTAATATGAATTGCCTAGCATCACAGGGAACCACCTCTATTGACCATTTCACCCCTTTACACCTCAATAATCTATCTTCCATCTCTCTGACCCACCTCAATCCCAGGCCTTGTATTCCACCTTCCCTGGGATCAGTAACAACATGAAGTCATCGATAACTCTCAGTAATTTTTGCTAAAGGTATATATGATGAAAGTCCAGGTACTTCATGCTTTATTTTTAAAACGAAGTCTATTTTTCTTTCTTTGCATAATATTTCATTTTCATGTGCTAAGTCTTTCAGTGAAAGTCTGAAGCTTCACATCTGGAGGTACTTTTCACCATGATGCAATGGGTGTCAAACAATAGATACCCTTGAGACGGTGACTGGGTCATCTGACACAGGTTTTCAGAACCATCCCTTTAACTTACAAAAAGCAGAAGCTTTAACTAAGCAAAGCCTTGGGTCAGAAAACTCTCCAACTTAGAAATGATGCTCCATAGAACAGATCATGACAATGTGGAACACGTAAGATGTTGAACATGGCCAGAACCGAAAATAGAAGAGCTTTCTCTAACAAAGCTTCTCTAGGTGGCATTTTCTGCCCCCTGTAGACAACTGTTCAAAACATGAAGAGCCAAAACAGAGCCATGACTTTCAACAAAAAAGGCTTCAACAAAACTCGGTGGATTCAAAAGATGAATCCAAACAGCTCTGCCATGTAGCAGTTTGGGTACAGGCTCCTCATCTTAGGTCGCTTTTCCTTCTAATTATCTGCTTTATTATTATTACTACTAAGGTGCTACTGGCTCTGGCTGTCTTCCCAGGGTTGTTCTGTTAGGTTAACTAATCACCATGTAAATGTTTTCAAAATATGTTAGGAGTGCTATATAAACATCAAAGCATCAGAAAAGAAACACCAAGGTGTTAAGCAAAGCCACAGACTTAGGAATTTAGACAAGACCAACGGTTAGCTAACAAAATTCACTTAGAGTCCCCAGTAAATCATCAGCTAAAACCTACTGAGACTCTTCAAGATGTGCTGGATGTTCAGTGTTGCCACAGTGCTTAGACTTACTCTCAACGAGTTTTACTGGCCACTGGGCTGCAAAATTGACCAGCTTCATCAAAGCCAGATTATTCTGCTTTTGCTTGACTTTGCATATTATTTAAAAAAAAAAAAAAACTCAAAAGTGAAAGACTTCTAACACTTCTCCTTTTCTAAATTATTTTTAAGGGGCAAATATTTTTTCCACTTGAACCAATGAAAGAGGGTGATGAAATTCACAGTGTACTGAGAGGTGCTGATAATATCAGCTGCTTTGAATTTGAAAAGCTATCACGCATCCAGGTCACTGGATTTCCATGAAATCAAACATTTCATTTCATAGCAGCTTTCCTTTTCTATATTTCTATTTCCTTTCTCTCTTTCCCAACGTACTGTGCTTAAGAAAACATTCTTATGATTGAAGGAGAAAAAAAGCCACACCTCCGTAAAATAAATGCTCATACTGAAACATCCAGAAGATGTTACACATTGTGACAAGCTGTCAGTACTTATCTGGCACTTCTACTGGTTGATATTAGTCCCCCAAATGTTCATCAGTAATCTCATGGACAAGAATTTTTTTCTCCTCACTTGGTGGAAATTTCTTTAAGGACAAAGTCTACATCTATTTCTTTGATATCTTCCCCAAAGTGGATAGTACATTCTGCTCTTCACAGCAGGTGCTCAGTAAACATCATGGACGGACTTAGTGTATGGATAAATTCTTGAGATGTAACTTACCCTGAATGACAGCTATAGAAATGAGCATATGAAGATTTTGAAATGCCTATTTCTTCCGCACACACATCTCCACTCTCACCACCCCCAGGCTTTTTAAAAATAGGCATTTTCATTCTTAGGCAAAATCAAGCAGAAGAAAGCCAACGCCAACTGCCAAACTGTACTATGTAGAGTTGTCTTAAGTTTAATTCAGTGGGTTAGAAACAAAGCCAATGGATACACAAAATACAGCTGCATTTTTGTTGTTGTTATATGATGTAGGCTTGAAAAAGAATCTGTACTAAAACAAGTCCTCTTGTTTATAGAATGAGAATAACAATGCCCGTCTGGAAGGGTTGTTCTGAAGATTAAATATGGCGACCAGGTGAGAAGAGCTAATCCCAGAGAAAGTTGATACAGGTGGCAAATTGAGAAAACAACCAATTAAACACCAGAGACTTACAGAGGAGGAGTAAACTGAAGAGGGGTAACTTAAAAACATCAGTCACCCATAGATCTACCTTAAAAACAAAGCAGATGTGGAATGCCATAAGACAGAAAGTGAGAATGTGCAGGGAATGTATTATGTATATAACAAATAATATTATATTCTTAAGCAATAATAGTAGCAATTAATGTTCAGTAATTCTTAGATCTTTAAGGGCAGATTACTGATAAATTTAATGTCAAAAAAAAACAGAAAGACTGAAATGTTCAGAGTTCAGAAGTAAACATGTGAAACTGTTGACTACAGATTATAAGTAAGCACTATAAATTCATGCTTACCTTGCTTATTGGGTAATTTGTCCCTGATTAAAGCCTATAGAACACTAAGGATACACAGATAGAATAGGTATCCTCTTTTTCCTTAAGCAGCTTTGGGACTTACGGCACAGAAAGGCATTTATATAAAAATGATCATGAAGCATCCCATATCTTCATTAATGGGTAAAGCCTAAGAATTAATCACTGTTAAGTTAATTCTCCCAAATACTTAAGTATGTCAAATTTGTACAATTCCATTCTTTCCAGACTCAAAGCCTACCTAGCACCCATCACCCAGGGCAGAAATTTTACTCAGAGATTAAGAAAATTGGGTTTTGAGTGATGTTGTTTCACCATTGAGTCAATTAAGACTCCCAGTGACCATATATGACAAAGTAGAATTGCCCCATAGGTTTCCTATGGTGTAATCTTTAGGAGGGCTCTGGTGGCACAGTGTCTAAGGCATTTGACTGTTAACCAGAAGGTTTGCAGTTCAAACCTACCACCTGCTCCATGGAAGGAAGAAGGGGCAATCTACCTCTGTAAAGATTTACTGCCTTGGAAACCCAGTGGGGGTCACTATGAGTAGGAATCGACCTGCCGGCAGTGAGCTTTTTTTGGGGTCGAGGGGGGCTCTTTGTGAGAGTAGATCATCAGATTTTTCTGCAGCAGGTCTTCTCTCCTATGAAGCAGCTGACAGGTTCAAACAGCTGACCTTTCAGTTAGCAGTTGAGTACTTAACCACTGCACCACCAGGCTCCTTTTTGAATGTTAAATCTTCCAAATTGCTAAGGACAATTCCAGTTTTAGAAAGCCTGACACAAATCCAGGCCTCTCCTCACCATCTACCTTCCCACTCAAGTTTTCAGAAACCTCTATGACTCTTTGGGAATACAAGGGAATTTTATCACGTGCAATATCTTGGAGGTCTAACTAGGGGAGGTTAAACGGAAAGCAGATGCACAGAGCCATTAATCAAAACATTTACCATCCAATAACCACCCAAATTCAGAACTATTCGAAGCATTTTCCTTCCAAGTAACTCAAAACAAGGCTGCCAAAATGCTGTACATGCTGATGGGATTGTCCATTACAGATCTGTTATTGCACTCTAACTCAGCAACCCTCAGCTAATAGAATCACAGTGCCAACTGGGACTGGAAAAGGAAAAGGTATAGTGCAGCCGGAGTAATGAAGTCACCAACATACGGCCAGTATGAAGTGGATGAAGTGGATATGTGAACTTGTATACTTTCCGACACCCCAGATATAGAAAGGAGCTTGTAAAAATGGCATCCCAGCCAAAGGGCACGTCTGTTGCGGGTTAAAGAGAGTGAAAGGGGGACAAAGTCTGGCCAGGGAAAACCAAATAATAAACGAGTACAATGCCAGCACCCCTAGCCTGGGCCTTTTATCCCCTCTCCAGATGGCCCAGCAGCTGAACAGCTCTGCAGAATGTCTGGGTACCCCTCTCAGCTCAGCTGCTTTTCTTGCAAAGGCATCATAATAGATGCTTTCGAGCATGTGTTCAGACATGGCTCCACAGACCAGGCAGTGACCACCAATTGACTATTTTGGTTAGTTATAACTGAAGTGATGAAAATGAACAAACAAACCCTGCTCTGGCAAAGCTTTTTATTCACGCCTCTAGCTTTCACCATGTAGCAAGTCACTGCCTAATAATGCCAATGACCAAATAAAAATGTTTCTTTTTCTTCTCTTTTCTGCAAACAAGTTAATCTGCTGGAAACATTTCCAGGCTTACCATTTTGGACTAATTTCAATAAAACCAAAATAGTGACTATAAATTTTAGCAAAAGCTTAACAGAAAAACCATAGTTTCCATTTACCTGTTAACATAGAATACTTCAGGAGCTCTGGTAGCATAGTGCCTAAGGCACTTGACTGCTAACCAGAAGGCTGGCGGTTCAAACCCACCAGCCACTCCTCGGAAGGAAGGTTGGGCAATCCTACTTCAGTAGTGATACTGCCTCGGAAACCCAAGGAGGGGTCGCTATGAGTCGGGGCCGACTCAACGGCAAATAACAACAACGACATAGAATACTTCAGCAGAAACTACTGCTCTTCAGCAAACTGATGACTGTCAAACATCCTCCTCTCTGCTCAGAAAGTACATCACTTTTCACTGGTGACCAAAGGTACAACAGGATCACATAAATCAAATTTTGGTATAAAAATATAACACAACAGCTTAAATGCCACCACACAGGGAAAAAGTAATATTAGACAATTTTGAAAGGAAATAACAACATCTGCTAACTATACTATAAAATTTTATTTAACTAAGGGTCTCCTACTAGCATTTATTCTAAAGCACGTAACTTTTAGTATTTTAATGCCCTGACTTATGTAGCAAATCTACACTTTTGTTAAGCCTAATAATTAGGTGGTAACCCAATCAGATAGTTAACTTAGAGAAGCTGGAGGAATAAAACCATTAGCCTAACACAATATAGATTCAATAACCTGTAATCAGCTACTAAGTAAAATCACAAAACAGAAAGCAGAGTTGCATGTTGTTACTTTGTCTCAAAAAGAATGCTTATAACTTATGCCAGCAGCTATGAGTACACTTCCCTGGGCTGTGAATGAAGAGCTTCTCTTCTCTAGCCATAAACAATATTTTCCCCAATTTTGTTTGTTAAAAGAGTGTTAGTATACAGATGCTTTGTAATTCCTTTCCAGCCCCAAACCTGTATGGTCAATTGCCATGTAAATTACAATAAAGATGCCCAACTGCAAACAAAGTTGTTCACTTGCATATTCCCACTATCATTTTTAAATTCTACTTTATTTGTAAACATGATTTACAAAATACCTTTCTGTAAGCTTCAGTAAGTCTCTCCTTAAGTTCCTGGCCCATAGATGCAAGTTCAATAGTCAGAATTCAAACCACATTATTTATTGCCTTACAAATCAATTGACATCTATAAAAATAAACCTTCTGAAAAGCTTCAGGCTATTTGAATCCCTCTAAAATATTCTGGCTAAATTACCCAACACTTTATCAATGTAAGACTGATAAAATATAATTTCATTACCAACATAAAATGGAGGCATTACGACTGGTGAAATGTTAGTTTTGAAAGTCATTGGCAGTGACATTTAAAACAATTTATTTGAACAACACTGACTCACGATAAGAATATTGTCTATTAAATTAAGATTGGCCGATTTAGAATTCATTTCAGGCCTATTCTCTGTGGGAGTTAACACCTTTGGTTTAAGGGTCATTACATATCTAAAATGAAAAAAACACCATTCTGAGCAAGTGCCTATTAAAATGACTGACCCGTAAACATTTTAATACAGTCTGTGCCTATGAAGGCTTCCACTCTGTTGTCTCCCGTAAAGCCTTTTCCTGCGTTGGCAATATTTTTCCTGACGTCCAACCCATTGTGGAATATCCATAAGGCCTACCCTTTATCTACAAGGCTGTTCAGAATGTTTCCCTCTAAAGAAATCACCAGGGAACAGGCAAAAATAAACAAATCTGCAAACCAACTCCCCAGCAGTTCACTTCACCTCCCTAAGGACACTGACCACTGAAGAGACCACAACAAACTCACTCCCCAGCAGTTCACTTCACCTCCCTAAG